CGTTACTGAAAAAATCTTCAAAAAAAAATAAATAAAATACAAATGTTGAAAAATTTGTTAAAACAGTTTTGTTCAAAATTCCAATTATTATTTTGAAACAAATAATTAAAAATTTATTTATTTTATTCGAATTTTAATTTTCTTTTATTTTTTTTATTGATATACATTTTTATTTACTATATACGATATATCGATAAAAAAAAACTCAATATAAAAATTTTATGAGTAACAAAAAAAAATATATATATATATGGAACACATTGATAAAGTCAATTGTTATTACATTATTTTTAAGACCACAAATCCAATAAATCTTTAAGATTTTACTCTCACGTCTTTCGATACTTTGTTACTTTTTTATATAAAAAGGATTCGAGAAAATAGCAAAATGTGGGTAACAAACTTTTGTGACATGTAATATGAAACGTGTTGAGAATTAGAATTCATTTTTTTAGGTTTCTATATATAATTATTAAAAAATATCATTATATGATAAATTACATTTTATTTAAAATTTTCTTTCATTTATTATATATATATATTGTGAGCATCAATTTCAACAAAAGTTCCCTAGACTTAAAATTTATTTTCTCCTTTATGATTCAAATAATATTTATAAATTAGGTATAAAAATGGCATGAGAGAGAGAGAGAGTATATTGAAATTTGTCATTAAATAATCAATTATTTCATCTTCATCCCTTGCGAGTAATTGGAAATATTTCGAGAATATAGATATTTTCATTTAAATGTTGAATTCTTCAGTGAATTTCAAAAGTAATTACTTGAAATAAATTTTCGCTAATTTAATATCTAAAAGATGAAATTTACAATACAAATTGGTTTCATTTTGCTTCACCAAAGTATTTCAATATAACCGTTGGGAAATCAATTAAACAAACGTTAATTGAATTTTTATAACACGAATAAATTTTTTTTTTTAAATATATATGTATATATGTATATAGCTAATTGTTAAATTTTCGGGGAAAAATTAATTTCTTCTCTTTTTATTTTTATAAAAAAAAAAATAGTAATCTTGCTTTTTTTTTCGTCGACGCTTCATTTAGTCTGACACTAAATTTTAATTAAAACCGGATCAAGTATCCGTAAAAAAGTATGAAAATTAATAACCTGACAATGATCGGGTTGAAAAATACGCAACGGTTATTGCGTTCCTGCGGTTTGTGCTCTTTCATCGTTGTCACCCTTTTCCCCTTGATTCTTTTCCCAACCTCACCCTACTTCTCCTCCTCACCCGGGGGGAGGAATTTTTTTCCACACTTTTTTTTCATTATAAGAAGTTTTATCCTTAGGCCATATAATCACCAACCAGTGAAGAAAACAAAACGAAACAAAAAAAAAAAAAAATAATAATTATGTGAAATAGTTTATACAGGTATTGTAGAAAAGGCTAATTATTTTGCATGATAAGATAAAAATAATGTTTTTTTTTATATATACAAATACATAAATTAATAATATTGTAATTATTGTTATTAATTAGTAAATGATAAAAAAAATTATAACTTGATAATGTCGAATTTATATAAAACTGAATTTTTTACTTTAGAATTGACATTGAATTAAATTTTCACATATAGAATTTTTTTTACCTGATTTAGTAAGTATTTCAGTCGGATTTTTTACACAGGATAAAAAAGTGTTATTTTAACACCCTTGTGGTTCAAATTTGACATTATCTCATTATTAGTGTTTTTTAACACCAGAGTAGTGTTTTTTTAATTTTATTTAAAACAAATGTTTTCGGCAGAAAAAATGAAGTATTAAATAAAATTGACAGAAGCATTTCGGCAGAAATTTTAAAATTAACCAATAAAAATTTTTCTGCCCTGAGAAAAATGTTTAGTGAGAGCAACCATAATTTTGTTGGTATTTAAGCAACCAAACTATTTGTTTGAGGCAACCAAAAAATTTGGTTGAGTGTTTTTTGTTGGCATAACAAAAATGTTTGGTTAGCTCAATTAAATTTTTTTTGTTACACCCAAAAAAAAGTAATCTTATACTTAGAGGAAAATTCCTCTTCTAATATCCTCTAAATATTTCCTCTTAAAACAAGATTATTCAATTGAAATGTAGAATATTTTTATTCTTCATTTTAATGGAAGAATGACAAAAGGATTCCTTTTGTATTTTCCTCTTTAATTAAGATTTTCCGTTTTAAATTTAGAAGATTTAAAAAAAGGAAACGGAAAAAAATAATGTAATCGTTTGATCCCTTTCCCTGGGTATGATAGTTGTGAAGTTGTTTTTTAACCTTTCAGTTTTAATATTTCTGGTAAAATGTCAACAAAAAGGACAAAAAAATGGATTTGCTTTATTAAAAATACAGAAAATATAGTTAAATTCAAATTAAATGAATATTTTTAACGCTATTTTTAGATTTAAAAAAATTTGGATATTTCTTGTGAAATTTTACTACTCAGGTAAATAGAAATACTATAACCCCATTTTTGAATCTTTCGAATTTTTTAAATCTTTTTATTTACTTTTTTAAAAAAGTTTTAAAACGTTAAATAATTTCATATATGAAATTTTTTTCTGTCCTATAAAAAATGTTAACTTTTAAACATATCATCATGTTTTAAAATTATTTTTGCGCTGAAAATCTCGTTGACCATTACAACTGATTAATGAAAACTTATTTTTTGTATTTTAATTATCAATATAAAATGTTGATAATTAACCAAAAACATGACATTGTTAATGTTATATTAAAAAACAATTTTTATTATTATATTGAAATGAACTATTATAATTTTACTTAATTTTAATTTAAAAATGTATTTTCTGCAAAGATTTTATTATTTGATTGAAATTATAATTATTTTATTGATGGCTTTGACATTAAAAACAATTTTACGAGGTTTGGATGTCGACATTTAATTTAAGAGGAAAATCCTCTTAAATGAAGAATAATAATTTTGATACCAAAATTAAGAGGAAAATATGCATTTATTTTAGAGGAATCCTCTAGATTGAAAATTACTTTTTTTAGGGTGTAGGTTAACAAAAATGTTTGGTTGATCAAACAGTTTTTTTTTGTAAAATTAAAAATTTTATTCTACCTTATCTCTATTCTTTTTATCTTTTTTATTCATTTCTCTTAAGCTATGAGCTGAGAGCGAATCAAATTATTTGGTTGTTGCAACCAAATTTTCGTTAGGACAACAAACGATCATTTGGTTTTTTAGACCAAACTATTTTGTTGTGTTAACCAAATTATTTTGTTGTCGTAACCAAATTTTGGTTGGAATTTAAAAATACTCAACCAAATAATTTTGTTGACCTAACCAAATGTTTGGTTGAGATAACTCTACGTCTTTGTTTCAGCCAACCAAAATTTGGTTGCAAGAACCAAAATTGCCTAATCAAACAATTTTGTTGCAAACGCTAAATTGTTTTTCTCAGTGTGAGTAATTTCCGATTGGTTAATTTTAAAATTCTCTCCAATAGAATTTCTGTTAAATGAATTTTCGGTTTTCTAAAAATTCTGTAATATGAAAAATCGGTTTAATAAAATTCTGTTGAAAAATAATTCGAACAAAATAGAAGTTCAATTGAAAAATTCCAGCTAATGAAATTCTATCGAATAAAAATTCTAACCAATTAATTTTAAGCAGTGTTCATGCGTCTCCTTAATATTAAGTTTAACAGTGTTGTAAGTAGTAAAAACGAGTTTCAGTCAGACACCTAGACTGTGTTCATATAATTTAAGTATCAGTATAGTACAAATTAAGAGTCAGACAAAATGGTTTTTATATTTTTGCGTAATTATTTGTCCTTTTTTTTGTTTTTTTTTTTTTTTTAATTGTAACTTCAGATAATGCTTATTTGAAAGTCATAACATTTTTGATGCGATATTTTATTATTTTAGGTTTCTCCTAAAGCGATTATAATTCAAAAATTTAGTTAGAAGCAAAAAAAAAATGAAAAAACACAAAAAATTCACCCACTATTTTTTTGTTTTGTTTATATAATCATAATTTTTTCCCCTCAAGTCGAAATTTAATTTTTCTTACTCATCATAAAAGAAGACGCTTAAATACATGATATCTATCCTATGCAAAATTTTTTTTAAGTAGCCAACATCATAATAACAATTATTATGTTACGTCCAAAAAACGTAACATTTAAAGTTAAAGTTAATTAGAACTTGAATTTTGAATTGGTTTCATTACTGGAAGTTAAAGTTTGAACTTGGAAGATTTTGAATATCTTGAAAAGAATTTGAATCACTGACTACCAGAGTCAAAATTTTTCCCTCTTTTCACCCTCGATTTTCACAGCCTCTTTTCAGCCTGAAATCATGCGCTTATTTCCAAATCTGCATGTTTAGAGGTTGAAAAGAGGTCTTGGAATTTTTTCTTAATTTGAATTTTTCGAAGTTTTATTCCACCTAAAAGTTTTATAGTATTACTACAAAGACCAATAAATATATCCTCAATAGGGTCAATAAATAATGTCCATAAGAAAAAAAATCCAATTTTTACATTTTTTTAATTTTATTTTTTCGTTTTTTTTTGTTTTTTTAACCTCTTTTACGCCTCTCTAGTCATCTTTAAACCCTCCTTTCAGCCTCCAATATAGCAGATATTTACACTTTTGCAAATTCGAGGTCGAAAAGAGGGTATGAAAGTGTTGGAGAGAATAAAAGGAGGATAAAAGGAGGGTTTTAGAGAACTTACAGAGAGTCTAAATTTCGACTCGGGTAAGAACTTGAGAAAGACTTAGAATTTGAATGACTTTTCATTAGAAGAAAGAACTTGGAATTATAACTCGAATAATAACACATATTTCCTAAAAGTATCAAATTGAGACCAAAAATTGCATCAAATCTTTGAACGTTTTGATGCACATAAGTTATATTAAAAAGAGATCGTTTTGTGTATCATTTTTAGAAATGATCATACACGAAACAGTCTTATTTTTTGATGCAAAAAATTTAATCAATCATGGCCGAATTGAGGTGTGTGAACTTGCGACCGCCACTTTGAAATTTTAAAAATTTTTTTATAGCATTCAATTGTCCACAAAAAGTCCACCTTTGTCCAACAAAAGATTTTAATTGTCCACCTTTTGTTTAAATAAAAAATGGAAAAAATAATTTTTTCAAGTCGAAAGTTCAAAAATTAGTAATTAACATTCACTAGAGCACTCATCGGTTATTTAGCGTTAATAGACGTTTGTCCAACAGAAAATTTCTTTTCTAAATAAAAAAAAAAAAAAAAAAAAAGTTTATTTTGGGTAAAAATACTGAAATATGGCGAAATACCAATTTTACCGTTTCCACTACATTTATTGTTTGTCCACGGTAAGCTCAAATAGACAATCAAAGTTATGCCCTAAATTATCAATTCATTCATTCCTTTAGACTGCAGAGATGAATAAAACTTAAATATGATAGTATTTTACTTGTAACAAGTTTCCTAAAAAATCAAAGGTTGGACAATTAAATCCACTAGTTGGACAATTAAATTCACTAGTTGGACAATTAAAATTATGTCCTAAATCATCAATTCATTCATTCCTTTAGACTGCAGAGATGAATAAAATTTAAATTTGATAGTATTTTACTTATAAAGCGTATCCTAAAAAATCAAAGGTTGGAGAATTAAATCCACTAGTTGGACAATTAAATCTACTAATTGGACAATTAAAATTATGCACTAAATCATCAATTCATTCATTCCTTTAGACTGCAGAGATGAAGAAAAATTAAATTTGATAGTATTTCACTTATAAAGCGTATCCTCAAAATTCAAAGGTTGGACAATTAATTCCACTAGTTGGACAATGCAATCTACTAGTTGGACAATTAAAATTATGTCCTAAATCATCAATTCATTCATTCCTTTAGACTGCAGATATAAATAAAACTTAAATTTGATGGTATTTTACTTCTAACACGTTTCCTTAAAATTCAAAGGTTGGACAATTAAATCCACCAGTTGGACAATTAAATTCACTAGTTGGACAATTAAATTCACTAGTTGGACAATTAAAATTATGTCCTAAATCATCAATTCATTTATTCCTTTAGACTGCAGAGATGAAGAAAAATTAAATTTGATAGTATTTTACTTGTAACAAGTTTCCTAAAAAATCAAAGGTTGGACAATTAAATCCACTAGTTGGACAATTAAATCTACTAATTGGACAATTAAAAATATGCACTAAATCATTAATTTAATTATTCCTTTGCATTGCAGAGATAAAGAAAAATTAAATTTGATAGTATTTCACTTATAAAGCGTATCCTCAAAATTCAAAGGCTGGACAATTAATTCCACTAGTTGGACAATGCAATCTACTAGTTGGACAATTAAAATTATGCACTAAATCATCTATTCATTCATTCCTTTAGACTGCAGAGATGAAGAAAAATTAAATTTGATAGTATTTCACTTATAAAGCGTATCCTCAAAATTCAAAGGTTGGACAATTAATTCCACTAGTTGGACAATGCAATCTACTAGTTCGACAATTAAAATTATGCACTAAATCATCTATTCATTCATTCCTTTAGACTGCAGATATAAATAAAACTTAAATTTGATGGTATTTTACTTCTAACACGTTTCCTTAAAATTCAAAGGTTGGACAATTAAATCCACCAGTTGGACAATTAAATTCACTAGTTGGACAATTAAAATTATGTCCTAAATCATCAATTCATTTATTCCTTTAGACTGCAGAGATGAATAAAACTTAAATTTGATAGTATTTTACTTGTAACAAGTTTCCTAAAAAATCAAAGGTTAGACAATTAAAATCTTTTGTTGGACAAAGGTGGACTTTTTGTGGACAATTGAATGCTATAAAAAAATTTTTAAAATTTCAAAGTGGCGGTCGCAAGTTCACACACCTGCCGAATTGAATCGACTCAAAATTAAACGAATTTTTTTCAGATATTTTGGTAATAGTACAATTGCGGAGACCATTTCACTATTTAATTTGAAAATGAAAATAACAGAAAATCAAAGACAATGTGCAATTCGATAATTAAAAAGTGACAGCTTATAAACATAACCTAAAATGCATGAGAAAAAATTTGTCGATAAAATCAATATAGTCGAGCTTTTTAGAAGGTAGATGGCAGCACTCATCTTTTTTCTTTCTTTAAATTTTTTCTGAATCGTTTTTATAAAAAGCAAAACTCTTACTTGCTAAACGGAAATATTGGTCAAAAAGATGTATTATGTTATCAAAAAAAGTAATATTGTTATCAATAATATTGGTTTAAATCAGAAATTAATTATTTTCAACAATATTTTTAATAAAATAATTCATTATTTTTTGCAATATTTTTTAATGAAAACACAGAAAATTATAAGGTATTAAAATAAGCTGCAACGCTCATTATTTTAATCCAATTTTGCCTATTTTAATCCATTTTGGTATTAAAATAAGAAAAATTGGATTAAAATAATAAGCGTTGCAGCTTATTTTAATGCCTTTTAATTTTCTGTGAAATTAATTTTTTCACAAATATTTTTGATCAAATAATAAATATTTTTTTAATCAAAAATATTGGTGAAATAAATTGATTGATATTTTCATTTTCGGAAACTAGGTGCACTCATAAATTTTTGTGTCTATTTCACGGTTGTATGTTTTACATTTATTGCTTGCCAAATGTTTTTGGTTTCTATGAATTTTGTAAATAACAAAGTGCAACCTGCAAGTGTTAACCATTTAAGGTTTAGTATTTCATTATTATGGTTCTAAAATGAAGAAATAAACAATTTATACACTCTCTAAATCTGAATGAAGTGAAATTTCACTTAGAATGTTTCAAAAGTCTTCCACGTAGAAAAATAATTGTATATGCACTTAAAAATAAGTAAAACTTCACTTATTTTTAAATGAAAATCACTTAATTTTTAAGTGCATATAAACTTATTTTTCTACGTAAAAGACTTTTGAAACATTCTAAGTGAAATTTCACTTATTCAAATTTAGAGAGTAGGTACTAAAGAAAAGAAACATGGTTTTGGTGAAACAGATGTTTTTCTTTGTGTAGAATCAATAAGAAATTTACCTACAAATAAAAATTAAGAAAAAGAAAATATGAAATAACGCAGGACGTTACAATTATCACAAATATGAAGAGAAAAAAACGGACATCTCGAACGAAATATATTAAGCCCTTAAATGCACTAAAGATGATTTTGAAGTAAGAAAAAAAAATTGTCTTCTTTTCAGTTATTTTGGTTTTCAGGTGGGAATTGAGTAAAACCTTGTTTTTTCTGTATACGTAGAAAACAAGTAAATTTTTTTCAAATTTGATGACTAAATTTAACAAGCCGAAAATTAGAAGACGTTTCGGATCTGTCTCAACACAATGTACGTATCATAAATTAAAGCCGCTTTATCGATAGTCGTTTGTTTTACTAAAGCGATCGTGCAGATAGTTCAGGGCAAAATATAGGTTAAAGATAATCGTTTAGATAGCATGGGGGGCAAACGTTTCTCAAAAACGCGAGAACCATATCTCTATATTGTATCACGGCAATATACAAGAATATTTGAAATGATTTAATATACACACGCATATATATATATATATATATACATAAATAATAGGAGAAAAAGAAACACAACTTTTTCCTTATATATACAATACATATTATATATATGAAAAAAAAACTTTGCCTATTGCTCTCGAAAATTTATATTACTTACGTGTCTGTAGATTATTTCAAGTCTAATCTGTATGAAATCACTAACGACCGACCTAATTTTCCCTCAAGTATTCTCTACGCTGCGAGATAAATGAGAATTTAAAATCTCAGATTTCAGATAATCCCAAGGCTGCAACTGTGCACAATTTTTTAATTAGTAATTAGTAATTAATGGCTCTTTTTTCACGTGAAAAAAACGCTTTTCTACGAGTTACTTAATATTACAATCGTTTGTGTTTTTTTTTTTTTTTTTTTTTTTTAGAAAAATTTTCAACAATATTCTTCAACACGAAATTGAAAAATTGTAATTTATTTTCATTTAAATAAATCTAAATTAATAATTCTTTTTGGAAGAATATTTTTTATTAGAAATCAGTAGTAGGGCTGTACCAGTTCTAAAACACAGGTAATGCAGGTGTCTACATTACCGACATATGGTAACTCTACTTTACCCTTGGCGGATGTTACCGGCCGTTGGCGCGAGATGGCGCTGTTGCTCGCGGGAATATTTGAAATTTAACCCTTTTGGTTAGGTTGATGTTACCGACCGTTGCCGCGAGATGGCGCTGTTGTTCGCGGGAATTTTTGAAATGTTTAACCCTTTTGGTCACCTCCCTTACCACCCACTTTCAACCCTCTTGGTCACCCACCACCCCCTTATTTGCATATGATTTTTTTTAAAATTTAACCCTTTCTATCGCCTACCCACCCCCTTATTTTGCATAACCCTTTTCAGTATAAACATATACGATTCCAAAAATTTAAAAATCATAATTAGAACCTCGAGGAACAAAGGGTTCGCGAGATACCGCGCGGGACTGTGGGTGGTTGGGAGTGGGTGGCTGTGGGTGGCGCACAGTGCATGGCTCAAAAGTGAAAGGTGCGCGGCAGATGTGCGCGTACGGTCACCGGGGCCCGTTGGTAGTCCATGCGTCAAGTGGGGATGGAGTTCAGTGGTGGGATGTTGTGTATGGTGGGGACTACATGTACCTCAGGCGATTCCCGTGGCAAGGAAAATCATTCTGTTCTAGCTTCCAGAATCAGCAGCATCAGACCTCTGGCACTCGCAGCAGTAGAATTAAAATAGAGAATCCCACCCACATTCCTCCCACTTGGTCACCCTCTACCACCCACTCACGTCATTTTAAGCTTCCCTCCAACTTTCCACCCACTAATTTGCATGCCGATTATATTTTTCATGGTATGTAACTATTTTACCATATACTAATGTTGTTTTTTAGAAGAAGGCGGCACTTTTTAAAACTTCTTTTTTCCATGGTAAGCCCCTATTTTTCAATGGTAACTCTACTTTATCATAGACCGATGTTACCGACTGTTGTCGCAAGATGGCGCTGTTTCTCGCGGGAATTTTTAAATTTTTAACCCCTTTGCATAATTCCCTATTTTTCAGTGGTAACTCTACTTTACCATAGATCGGTGCTACCAACTGTTGTCGCAAGATGGCGCTGTTACTCGTGGGAATTTTTAAACCTCATTGCATAGTCATTTTTTGAACATTCTACCCACTTTCCTCCCACTTGGTCACCCTCTACCAACTACTCATTTCTTAGCTCTTCTCCCACTTTCCACTCTCTTGACAACCAGAGTGGGGTTCATGCGCACTCCCTCTCTCGCCCCATCAACATTGCGCGCGCATTATTATAATAGAGTGGGGGTACATAGTATATGGTGTGTTGCGTGCGCAGTTTTTTTTTTAAAGTGGGAGTGAAAAGAAGTGGGAGAAAAATAAGAGTGGGGCTGATGGCATATAATGCAGAACACAAGCCCGGAGATAGCATAACTGTTACAGATATACTGAAGCAACAACATCCACAGCAGCCACAGCATTAGCATCACTACTCCCTCTTCTATAAGGTATATATTCTACTTTAACTCCTTTTTTTAACCCACTCCCCTCCCAGCTTAATTTTGATTTTTATATTAAAACTTTCCATTCTTTTCTGCTTACAGATATAAAAAGAAATCATGGATTTACAAAAACTCAACGCTATTGGTCACATGGAAAGTTTCCTGCCAACAAAACCGCTTGCTGAGTTGACTCCAAATGCTTTATATACTGTAACCAAAATAAAGAGGGTGCAGACAAAATTCGGAGGTAGGATTGTAGCAGAACTAGATACTACATTCAACACTTTCCTCCCAGCAAGGTTCGCGAAGCTGTTCGAAACTGAACCTGCATCATTCACAATGATGGAAGAAGCCGCACAATCTCAAAAATTACAATTAAAATATATCGGCGGCAAGTTTAATGTAATCGAATTTGAATATAAGTAATATTAAAAAATTATTAAAATATAAAAAGAAAAAATAATTGTAATATAAAATTGTAAATATTCATAATGTGAGAAAAATAAATGTATTAATTTACATAAAAAATGGTTTCTTTTCTTATTTTACCTTCATTATTAGTCTTAATACTAAGGGTATAGGTTCAAGTAATAAATAGACGTTTTTTTATTTTTTAAAAACTAATAAATTAATTTATTCAGATAAAGTATTTAAAATTTATTATACATAAGATTCAGAATTTTCATAAAAAGATTTTAAAGTAGTATAAGTACAATCCACTTCATCGACGCCATCTGATAAATTTCTCAATTCATTCGATACATTCAGAAACCAATTTCGAAGAATCATAACAATGTTTACAGCACAATGATTAGTTTGAGTAATATGATGTGTACATGTAGTTAACAATGATTCAGTTTTAATATTTTTAATCGCTGGACAGTCTATATCTTCTAAATTTTGCACATTTAACAAATATTTTTCTAACCACTGCTTTTTTTCAACACCTTTCGTGTAGATAGTTTTTGCACCTCGTAATGTTTCTTGTATAATAGTACGCAGTTCATCATAAGATACATCTCCAGACATCCAGTGGATTCCATGATAATTGTTTGTTAGCCAGAGATTTTCACTTTTATAACGTTGAGGTAATGAATTCCAAGCACATGGAGGTTCAAAGAGGTAAACTTGAGGTTGAGCATCAGCTTCAAGAGGAAGTATAGCCAACTCTTTGAAAATGAAATCGTTGCAGGGTTTCTTG